ATTTTCCTCTCAGATTCTGATGAACCACAGCAATGCTATAACCCTGTGAGAAAATGTCTCTATTTTTCAAGTGTTTCTCTTCAATGAAATTAGCGTAGATGAGAACACTCCTATTTATCTTGTGCTTTTAATCTTTCCATAAAACTCAAACTTAGCATAAAAGAAATATTGTCAGGCTATCAGGAATGAGCATACCGCATGAATTTTACGCTGCCTTAAAAAAAGAATCTAAACCAGCACATTCTCCATTGAGTATATGTCAAGCTTTGCAAGTGAATTGTAATAGTCACAATTCCTTTGCGCTCTCTCACATCTCATAAGTCAACGTACGCAGCTAGAGTAGGCTTTTAATAAGTGTCACGGGACACGAGGTGAGCAGCACTTCTTCCAGACAAAAGCAGCAAACCAGAATAAAAATGTTTTTAACTTGGTAAACAAGTCAAGCTCAGTTTGATATATATTTCTGCCAACCCACACATCCATTTGTTGTCTTTATTGTTCTGTTCATCCACATATAATAATTGTACACACGGTCAAGTTTCTGCATGCTCCCAAGAAGCCCTAATAAAGAATCAAATTAACTCTGTTCACATCCCTCTGGAGACAAAAGATAGATGCAGCTATCATATTCCAGCAGGTCTCGTGTTTACGGTCTTTCTATGAGCATACACAGATTTAGAAATTACTGTCTACAGGGAGAAAAGAAAACAAACAGCAACCCCCAGACTTACATCTCTGTCCAGAATTCGGCCGGTGCTATTCAGGTATAACATCTGCCGGATCGGATCGAGGATCACCCAGTAATCTACGTTGTCCTTCAAGGAAAGCTCAATGGTGGGGTCAGGCCCTCCGGCTGTCCCTTTGATCAGCATATTGTCAACCAGGATAGTGCCTGCAAAAACAATAAACACACGAGGGAGAAATTTATATGGGCAGCTACGTTTTTATGTATTTTCATAACAACTGCAACACTAAAAATACTGTTTTCTAACTAGGGTTTCTGGTATTTTATGTTTTGAGTGACGTTTAAAAAGTCTGAACCTTATTATCTGTAATGAAAAACTGCCTCTGACACTGAAGCTAATTTCAGACAATACCAGAAGAAGCACTTGCAATGCACAATAATTTAAGTTGATGGTGAGACCCATCATATACAGCTACCTATTTAACATCATGAGTTTTTTCTCCATTGAGCAATCATCACCCAATCTCACCTCAAACAAATGAAAGCACTGAAATAACAACCAAAACCAGAATACATTTTCTACAGCAAGAGTGACACATCAAAGTGGGGAGGTGGGAGAACAGTTACATAAAGCTCTCGAGGAAGAAAGAGGTTTTATATCTTGAGCTGCTCTGCAACAGAAAACTAAATTGCAGCATAAAGACATGAAAACTATGTCCACCGAAACAAAGGCAGTACTTAATTAGGACCAGCAATCTATTCAACATCTATAACACATTTTTTTTCTTCTCTTGTCCCATCCTGTCAGTTAAAAGTCTTGCCTAAGAGCGCTATTAGTCAGTTCACAGTACCCCCGATGTACATAATTTCCTGTGTACAACACTCCAACTTACTTTCCAAATGTCATGCATTGCTAACTACCCTAAACATTGCACTCCGGTGCCTCAGATTTGCATGCAGAGTATTTATAAACACTCTTGTAAGATTTCATTCTTCTGAAAAATTGACACTACCCAGTTTTCTTCACACTGAAATATTAAAAGAAACGATCTTTGTGGAAGTTCGTCAACAGTTATGAAGAAAATCTGTGAACATCACTCGTTGCAGATCCTTTAACATTGGTTAAAAATACTTATCACATAATCTCCTGTATTAAGGGCCCAAATAATTTGTTCCAAAGTGCAGAGCAAAGCGTCTTTACACCTTCACGTTACAACAACGGCGACTATCTATAAATATATTCATCTGGGGGGAGAGGTTCCGAGTTGGACCAATGGTTTTTCTGGATAAAACAGCAGAACTAATTACTGGTCTTAACTATAGCAAACTGGTTTACAGTCCTATTAAAAGGAAAACACCACACTAAGGTTTATTCAATATTTTTTTTTAATTATATAAAACCACCCTCTTTTTTATACCACAACAGAGACGATGGGAAGAAATACTGCCAAACGTCCACAACTTTGCACCAAAGACTGGTTTTAAGTTGAGGAGCAATACCCTTTTAGCCACACGAGAAACACTGCTGCTACCCACGTATTTTATGGCTATCGGCACAATTTCTTGTCTGAACAATTACGCTCTGGCCCAGTAGCTTGAACTGGCATACAGCTTTTGGGAGACCACCATTAGTTTTAACGTAAAGAGGATTTCATCAGGACAAACAAAATGATTACCAACACTGTGACAGTTCAAAGTGTTTATGTCTGGTCACCAACTTCTCTCAAGTCTATAAAATCCACCAGCTTCCATGTATTGCCCTCATTATTCTGCCACCTCAATGATGATGCAAAGAAAGGTCAGCAACCCAAATCTGAGGTCATCTGAACAAAAGGTGCCCCAAGAAAAGCCTCCCTGAAAAAAAAAAAAAATCAAAGACAACAAACACCACGATCATCCTAACGGCTTCAGTTGCTTTCCTTTTTTTCCCAGTCTTCTTGTTCAGACCCAAAGGCAAAGTCTGAGTTCTGGCTACATCTTCACCAGCACTCAACCTGACAGAAGGCTCTAACACCATTTGGATGGCTCCCGAGGGAAATAAAAAACTGTGATTTCCACCTGTAAACAGCACAGCATTAGGCATTTCAGCAAGGCCCACTGCGCATAGCAAATCTATAAGGTGGAGTCTATAGAAAATACTACATGTGCAAATCCTTGCTGGAAAAAGGAGGAGTTTAAGGGAGGGAAGAATTGAGGCAACTGAAGTAATTAAACGACACAGAAAAGAGGAGAGGGTTGTGAAAGTACTGGAGAAATATACCGCAAGGGATAATTAGGAATTAGCACAAGGAAAAAACAGCAACAGCTTCTGTCTTCTCTCCGATGTTGAAGACTCCTAAGTCCGTGAGGAGCAAAGGGGCATCACAGCCCAAGTCACAAGGACACAGAACTACCCCAGCTGCCCACCAATACAACGCTTTCAGATCCTTAAGCAGTCGTGACATATAAAGAGGATTTATTTCTCTCCTCAGAAAATTAAAAAATAAAGGTTGCCCTATAATGCAGACAGGTCCCTGGTTTTTACAAAAGTCAAGATTATGAATATAATCTAACATTAGTAGGTCCCGATTGAAGTGACAGTAGCAAAGGGAAATTACTTTTGGACTCCGCAGCCCCACTGCCCATAGAGAAATGCAGCATACGCAACGCTAAAGGAATCAGACTGATAATCATTGCAGAGCTCTGACTGCTAACAGAACGGTCTGCGGGGCCATGCCCCTGTGAAGGTGGCGATTACCCTTCCATGAACCGCATACAAGTAATCAGAGGAAAAAAATACATACCTCAAAGGCATGTACAAATTCGTCACGGCACAGCGTGCCTTTGGAAGTGGCAAGATATGGGGGCCTTACTACCAGAATAGCTTTCCACATGTTAAGGATTGCAAAAAAAGAAGTGCAATTGTAGACTGTAGCATCTACACAGAGGAAAGTGCTGCAAAACAAGTCAACGGTGGTTGTAACAGCGTCCTAACAGTGACACACACCAGATATTTTACTACCCGGCATTGGCAGGCAGCTTTGGTTCGGTATAGGTTACGTACACCACGCGTGTTGCTCTTTGTCCAAGGAGGCTTCGTCCTCCCTTGCTTAGTGTCTAGAAGATGGACTTCTGCCAAACTCAGCCTTCTGCAAGGGCTAAAGAGTTCACACAACTTCAATTTTTAATGAACCTGAGAATAAATGATTGCAATGACATACTTAAAAAAATATATATTTAATCAACTTAAAATCTCGATGTGATGACAAATGCCGTATAGTCTCTAGTAAACCACTGCTACTTAACTGACCTCGCTGCTTTAAATTCTGCATCTCGTTTGACTTTCCTCTGCTGCACCCTAGAACAGCTATGTGCTCGATTTAACAAAGTGCCTCTATTTAGTTTGTTTTGATACAGTGATTCTTTTGCTCTTAAAAATGGACTGTTTCTTCTTCAGATATTCACGAGGCACTTGTCCTCTCTCTTCAGGAGACAGCAGTTTGCAAATAAGCCTTTTAATAGCCATCCTTCAAGTATTATTCTTCTAATTTACAAAGAATCTGACCTTGTGGGTCTCTTTTTTTCCCCTTTAGATATCTATCATTTTGTTCCTTACGTTCTGCCTCTGTCCTTGGCCTAAAATGCCAGAGTGGTAACCTACCACCAATAAATCTGAATACATGCAGTTCGATGTGACTGCATCAACAGTTTGTCCATTAACTCTCCATACACACAAGCGCAAAGGCAAACACATCCCCTGACATTTTCAGATAATTTGCTTCCATAATTTTTTGCACAAAGAGCAGCTTAAACAACGCTCTAAGCTGAAATGAAGTCTACCTTGTTATAAAAGTTACATTCTTCTTCGGTAATTGTAGTGGAAGTTCAATTTTAGAGTTTTTGGGGGGATGAGGGGTTGGTCAAATTCTGCTGAGGGCACCTGAACAGGATAGTGCCACTCACAGTGAGGACAGAGGTGGGTCCATGAAGATGCACGTTTCTGATACTCAACTTCTGGAAATTTACACTCATACACCCAAATGTGGAATAGTATTTCAGCACTGTTCTCTGCACTTCTGTCCTGTGTGCCCAAGCCACTGAAAAGGACACCAGGGACTAGACTTACTGATATTTTTTCCTGGCTAAGTAAAAAAAAAAAACCCACAGACTGTTGTGAAAGTTAGATTGCTCATCAACACAAGTAGATTTTAAGAATAGCTTTTCTTCTTGTGTAGAGATCACAATTTGGCTGATTTTCCGCCTTCACTGAAGCCCGACTGATGACTGAGATGTCTTGTGGAAAGATCATACAGCTTTTCAAGGGCTTAGTACAGAATCAGCCTCAAGGAATCCAAGTAAGTTGTTGGCTAAAATACAACAACAAAGCCAGAAACAACAACAGACTGTACAAGCGAGGAAAGATCCATTATTTCCAGGTGTAATATCATTTTTCCGAAAGTAATGACATTTACTCAGAAATGTCATCCGAGCTTGTTGGAAATTATTCAACAAGTAGCCACAAAATAAGACAACAAAAATAAAAATAATAGAGCACTGTAAATACTACAACAATAGTTCTACACTAGACGACTCCTTTGAGAGGAATCCAGAAGCTGAAAAATCCTCATTAGACTGAAATAATAGGGAAGGGTTTGTTTTTACGGATCAGTCTCCGCAGAAGGTGATCTTTCCATGGGAAGGGCATTGCGATGGGAGTCAGGTGCAAAAGTGACAAAATACAGAATTCGCAGTTTACCCTCTACTAAAGAGAGCAGACACACAGTGCTCAGTGAGGACTCACTTATTAAATGATTTAGACATATCTTGGGATTATTTTAGTTGAATATTTTGGCGGAGCTCTTTTTTAAAGAGTGAGGGAATTACGACTGGTCTGGGAATAACCCTTATGCTGGCACATGAAGCAGAAAACAGGATTCTAGTAGAATGATACCTGCAGGACTTGACTTTCAGGAATTAAAAGACATTCGTGGTTTCTCTTTCTGCAGTCGCCAACCTCAAGGTCTGTGGAGCACATCCCACCTCCCCAGCGACACTACTGAAGGGGCTCAGCACCAGGCAAACCTTGTGCCCGATGGCGGGACCAAGGACTTCCCACATTGCGGATGGCTGGTCCCAGTGACATCGAAGAGACGCACCTAACAGCAAGGAACGAAGCAAGCTCTATTTCTGCAGAAACGTAAAACACAAATTGGACAGACCTTACCCTC